CTGCTTCAAAAACACAGTGAAGGGGATTTCTTCAACTGCACTCCCTGACTGCTCTACAATAGGCCTACAGTCCTGGAGCTGTTAGAGCCTGCCAGCCCCTGTATCCAGGCTTAAACCCATAATCACCACCTCTTCTTGTGGAAACCAATACAACCTGTCTGTGCTTCACGCATCAGTTCCCTTTAAAATAAATTGGTACTTAAGCCGTCTTTGGTACATAAGGTGGAGGTGTCGGAGGACAAATTAGTTTAGATGTAGCCGTGCTGATGGGATAAACATCTCCAGCAGGTCCAGGCGCGTCACCTCTGGTGGGCTAAGCAGCCGACCAGGCCGGGAGAAACGCAATAGCTACATCGGAGATCGTCACGGAAAAGACTCCTGGGAAACATCCGTAAGCCACAGGAAACAAACCTGCTGTTCATTTTAAAACACCTCTTCCCCCTACACTTAAAAAACAAAAATAAGATGAAATCAAACACCCCAACATCTTTTATGCGCACTTTACTATTTATTGCCCTTTTTTTAAACTCAGACCACACAGATCTGGATTTGGTGACAAGGACTATTCGCAGTCAATGTGTGTGTTTTTTTTTTTTTATTAATGGATGTTTTTCCATTAGTACCAGGGGACATCAAATCCAAATTCACTGAGCACTCGTCTATCCTCTATTGCTACAGAGTGGTCATGGGCCAAACACACATGATGCAACGCGTACCCTTTCCTGAATGTATCAGAGACACTTTGTTGTGGTTTACCACAGAGCATTACCCCTCCAAGCAAAGCACGAAAGGTCATATGACAGAATTCTGGATTTGCCACTGGTATGTGAGACAAACTTCAGTTTTGCAGGTTGTACGCAATAACATAGATGTACAAACAAAGTGCTGTTCAGATTCTCACACCAGATGAAACAGAAACCAAAAAAAACATCCTAAAACAGAAAGATTAATGGGGCTTGAATAACGTGTCCTGCTTAAAAATAATCTAATTATGTTATAATGTAATCGCAATAGCATTGCCCAGAACCAAATCATATTTGTCACAAACGATTGAATTCAAGAAAACAGGAGGGTCACCTTTAGAAAAAATGCAGCAAAAACAAAACTACAATGACACTTGGAAATGCCATGTAACCTAGGGAACAACATAGAGGCCTTCCCTGGGGTACAGTACAAGAAGGAGATTCAGCACTGGCATGCCTCGTCACAATTAAATTCAGAGAGCCCTCGAAAGGCTGCAGGTCAAATGGGGGACACAAGTTTGGTACAAACAATCCACAACAAGCAGAATCTCCCACCTTCCACTGTGGTGTCCATTATTAAGACATTTAAGGTCAATGCTGTAGTGGCCACCCTACCTACCCAGGAGAGGATGCTATTGCCACCATGGACTGTAAAATCAGAAAGACAAAAACAGCCACACAAATACCTAACACCACCAGCGGGGGGCGCTACCTACCTGTTGTTTTTGGTCCAGTTCGCATCGCAAGGCTGGCAGCTAGTCCGGACACAGACACCGTCAAATTTGGCTTAGAGGGGTGAGGTTCGGTCTCCAGGACGGCCACAATCTGGGAGGTTTGTAGAGAGACCTTGTGGAAGAATGTCAGGGCTGCCCAAGAGCTGTCCTGGTCCAGAACATCCCGGGATACCTCAGGCCTGGGAGCGCTCTCGCCCGGGGCGGAGGCCTTCGCGGTCTTGGCTTCCTGACTGGACGAGGGTGCCGAGGGGTGTGCGTGTCTGTTGCCGTCGCCGTCTCTGTGGGGGATTATCTTCCTCAGAAAGGCTTTCATCTGTTCCAGTTTGGCCAGTGTGGGGCTCGCTTTTAAAGGCCGCGACAGCTCGACGATCAGCTCGGCTGCGGACCAGAAAACAAGAACAACAGCCACACGATCACGCAATTATTTCAAGCAGAAAATTACGAACTCTTCTTTCCAAAGAACAATCTTGAAAACTATCTGGAATACAGAGCAATAAAGACATGCACATTTTCTGCACATGGGTGAGTCCCATGCTTACGGCTTCATATCCAGATATTCTGGATCCAGAGAACACACAAAGTAAAAGAGGAATGAATTGAGCAGAACAAAGTGCTGACTCGACATGCAGGGACAAACAATATTAAGGTCCAATCCACAGTAAAGAAACTGCAAAAACCCCAGAACAATGAAACTCTTCCAAAGGCACACCATTTTTAGACCACAAAAGTAATATGTTTATAAAGCACCTGATAGTCTTTTCTTTTGAAACAACCTGGAAGACAATGTTTGCAATTCCAGACAATGTTATAGAAGAAGACGAATCCCCAAATACGGTGAACACTTCACTATCATTCTCAAGGCTTTGGTGGAGGGGAGGACTTGTTTTTAAATGTGAAATGTGAATCAAAGAGGCTGATTTATACAACTTTACAGTCCTTTGGAAACTAAGCTGCACACAGACAGGTGCTGTTGCTGGCCTTGTCCAAAAAGTGAGAGAATGAGAATGAAAAAGAACGCTAGAAGCTGATACGTGAAGAGTGACAATGAAGAAATTAAAAAGAAAATTCCTTCCCTACGTCACAATCTGTGAAAGAATCGAGCTCAACCTCAGCTGTCAGAGGTGCTGGAGCACATCAGGGACTGCACATCTCCCCTGGTGAGCTTGTTTCCCAAAGCATGCTTCCATCAAAGCTCCAACAAGAGAATTTCACTTGCTCATAATTATTTTTATTTATGAAGTGGAACCTGAAGTAGTGTACAAGGTTAGAGAGACTGGAATGTGCTTAGGCAAGTAATAGAAACACAAAACATGACTTTGTGGCTACTAAATGATATTTCTCTCCGACTGCGTGATGTACTGCTTGTTTCCTTTCTCCCAAGGGCTTTTTAGCAATGACACAACTTCGGAAGAAACTAACTTGCCACACTCTGTAAATCACCTGCTATCCCTTTCACCTGCTAGAGGAAAAGGTCTAGTAAGTCCCAAGTCATTAAGAAAAGACAGAAAACTGTAAATTAGACGTTGCACATGATCTGCTTTATTTAGCTAGCATGCATCCATCCAGATGGTAATTCAAGTTTGGTTTCAAGTACTGTTCACATTTATTACAAATAACTGAGGTAAGACCTATAGGTCTATTAATACTTTTTAAGGGTGGGCAATACATTTGCAATGTTTCAGTCCATGGGTACTACAGTACCTCACCTTGGCCTTAAGTGAATATTGAGAGAATTTAATTCCTGACCTACAAAAAAATATTTTGTTTTCTTAAGTACAGTTAGTAAAATACCATCAGACCCTGAAGATCTGCATATATGAAACAATGATAATACTGTGTCTGTAGCACTTATAATTCTTACCTGCTTTATTTACGTAGCCTGAAGCAGAACATCAGTTGAAAATCCAATCTAACAACTCTTACAAATGCTAATAAGGTCAATTTATGAAAGATTAAAAACAGGATAACACCTTTTGTAGTTATACATCAGGTCCTGATGTCCCAAAAATATTTAGCTGTATTTGTAGAGTAAAAACACGAGAAGTAGCACAGCTGTGATTTTAACTTCGGTACTTTCATTTTCAGATAAAATATGTACTTCAGCTAATTTGCTTCTCAATAAAGACAGAAAGCTGTTTTGGATCTCTCAAACAAATACTGCAAAACTCCTGTTTCTAATTACAATACTGGGCTCAAAAGGCTTCACAATTCTGCATTTTATTATCTTTTTAACCTGTCAGCTGTCTGCTTGCATTCCTTAAATGGCATAAGTAATGCTTTTGATATTGCAGACTCCCAAAATATTTACACTTCCTGTTTATTGCGCACAACTGCAAATGGGAATGTTCATTTGACGATGACTGCTTTTTTTACTTGTAAGAGAAGTTTCCCCACCATAACTTTTAGCATTCCCTACCAAATAAATTTTCTTTATTTCATAATAATATTCAGGGGTTACCCTGGAACTTTAAATTGTGGCTCCTGCTTATGTTATCTGTTTTAGGTCATTTAATTTGTGGCACGTGAACACAGATGACACGTGCAATATCCCATTATGCAGTCTGTGTTCAAAAACATTAGAATGCAGGTGCTCTTCTATTCAATTAGCAGATGCTGTGGGAAAATTACAGTGTGACTCAGTATGAGCTTCTTGCTTCCGCAGAAGAGAGGAAAGTTTGTAATGCCTGCCGTGTTTACAAAGTCACAAATGTCTGAGAAAGAGAGGGCTCTTCCAAAGCACAACGAGACAAACAAGTGCAGACAAAGAAAGCAAATACTGTACATTAAAATGACAAAAAACTGGATGGTTTGCTACTTGAGATTTTTGACCTTAAAGGGTGGATAAAATGCTGATGATCTGATGGTGTCTTTTACTATATTACAGAGTTATAGCCTGGCCTTGTAAATGACTATCAATTATTTTGGCATTGTACAGTAATTACTTGCAGCCACATATTCAGAAGCCAATGATGACTGACTTCTGTATTTAGAATTCCCTATTAAACTCTTGGAACTGTAAAATACGAAGACAATGATTTTCAAATATTGTGCTTGAGTAATGTGCACAGCATAATCCAAACTATGTCTGATGTTTCAGGACATTGCACTGCACTCAAATTACAGGTATTTCTTTAAATACTGCAGGATATGTTATAAATATTACAGTAAACATTTTAGCATAGTTTGATGGCATACTGAGGATAGAGTCGTGCTGTTAATGGCTGAAAACGCAGAACTATTGATAGTGAAAAGCAATTCATGTAAATGTCTTATTATAACATATTCAACATATTAATCAAAGATCATTCAAATTATGAGGGAAGCTCATAGATGTTTTTTAATGTTCTGGCATGTTGACCTGCAGTTGACTACAGCACCTTGATGACAGACTATTTCAACACATTTTGCTCCTTTGCAAGTTAATTTCTGTGCTGTAGGCAGAGCTTTTGGCTTCATCTGCATCATTCTACAGTGCCTTTCCTCAGGACATGAAAATTTCTAGCTGATTACTACCCACAAAACCTTATGTTTGATTTTCTCCTGCCCTAAAATAAACTGAGTTTTGTTATACTGCACATACATAATAAAATACATATCAGACAACATCCCTGATAACATGAGTGGAAACTACAGAGAAGGGAACTAAAAACTGATATTCAAACTGAGGATCAATGGTGGCAAAACTTGGACCAAATACACAGAAGTGCATTAACACGATTACAACACAAGGCACTTCTTCATGCAAAGGGTTGTGAGAGTATGGAACAAGCTCCACATCCTTGTAGTTGAAATGAATGCTTCTTTCAAGAAACAGCTGGATGAGATCCCCAGCTCAGTTAACTACTAGAATGTCTTCCTCTTGTTTTTCACCTTTTCTCATGTTCACAAGACCCATCTCCCTCAATAAAATTCGTTTTGAATATCAGAGCCACAAGTGTTGTGGTGTCACTGGTTTACACAGCGCCACAGTATAATCCATCTTTAAATGTGAGTGGGACATCCTAAGTCTTTCTTAGAAATAAAAAAAAGAAATAAAAATCCAAAAAAGACAATACCCATCATAAAAAACTAAATAAAGAAGTGATATAAGATGAGGACATTTCAGACCTCTGGTTCAACCGGAGCCAATGTCCTCTGTGAGTTTTAATCAACAGCTGTGAGAGAGTCAAGAATTGCAGCTGGCTTGTAACAACACTGCTCTCTGATCCTTCGAAGACAGTTCCTTCATGTCGCTGTGAAGCAGAATTCACCAAGCGCTGGATTGTTTGCTCACCAACAGGGACTGTGATGTGCTGTACAGGCTTGGCGGAGGAGCCAGCAGTGAAAAGCTCCCATGTATGGGATTACAGCGTGAAGCCTTCAAGTCAGATTCCCCCTCTTAAAGGTCTAAACTGAATTGAATTCCCTGAAGATAAGATGCCCCATATTCAAATGAAACGTCCAGGCTGCATGCTTTGCATTGCAGGCATGACAGTAGAAAAAACACATTTGTGGGGGAAATAATTAGATTAAAGCTGCGATATTTCTGTCAGGACAATAAAGCAGGAAGGCAAAATAAAACGGGAGAACTTGTTCAGGCATGAGGGGCTGGCTGGTCTTAACGAGGCCCTCTATTAAGAACGCACTATTGCCACCGACCCATTTACTTTTCCTGACGTCCGCCGGTTCAGGCCAAACTAGGAAAAACCACGTCGCCTCCTCGGAGCAAAAGGAGAAGGCGGGAGGGTTTCCCAGTATTTTGAAATGAGAATTGGCCCGAAGTTAATTCAAAAAGCCTGCGCCCCCGCTCCTTCGCTCTCCTCGCGTGTCAGCGCCCATTAACACGAAAGAGGCCGCGAGACCGGGGTCTGACGCCACGACCGGCGCGACTGGGAGGCCCGGGATCGAACGGGCGTGGCTCTGCGCGGCTCTCCGTGAGGTCACCGCGCCCGACCCCGAGCTGAACCCGGAGGAGCCGCCGTCGCTCCTCCTGACATGATCGTTGTTTTCATTTTTCACTGGAGCAACACGGATCGGCTCTCACGCCTGCCTCCCGTCAGAAGGTTTCTGCTGCTCTGGGAGCAGGTGGCTGTGCATCCAATTAAGCAGGGCCTAGCCTGGTAGAGGGGAGCCTGGGTTAGCTCACCTTCTCATTGGGGATTTGCCTGGGCTGGGAATGGATTTATTATGGCTTCGCACACGGAACCAGGTTCACATCAGCTGAGGGCAGTGACATATCATATGATTCAAATTAGCATGTTATGCTCCGTGGGGCAAGGGCTTGTATACAGAAATGACAGCCTTTTTTTTTGCAGCAGCAGCTTGATGAGATCCAGGACCGAGGAACCATAATGGTTCCAATTTGTTCAAGCTAATCTATCACCTGCTGGAGTTACCACTGCAGTGTGTGATTTTTTTTTTGGTAGCTGTTATTTCTCGAGGATTTAACCAATGGGCCTTTAATTTTTTTTTTTTTGAAAAAAGGTGTCTCTGACCGGATCCTGATCCTGGGAAAGCAGAGGGGCACAGAGGCTGTCAGGCAGCCGGGCAGCGGAGAGGGAGGAAAAGCAGACAACCCAATGGGAAAACCTGGAACATGCTTTGGATACTGAACATGACACATTCGGCCGGCTCCTTTTTCAGTGTCCTGTGATTAACATATATATGACGTCTGACAGAATCTCAGAGAAGTGTTCAGGGCAGTCAATTAAAAATGCAAACATTATATTCAACTGTGTGCACACACAGAGCAGTAAATCTTTTTTAGATTTAGCAGGCTGTCCTTTTGCGTCCTTCAGAATGAAGCCTTAATTGGCCTGGCTTTGTATGCTATATAAACGATTTTAAATTGCAAGCACATTGTTCCAAACAAATATAATCAATGGTGTTCTTGCAGCAATTTGTTTTGAGCTCTCACTACATTAAAAAAGCAAAAAATGAAACGTGTTTCTTTAGAAGCTTTATCATTCCAAATATATACTGTATGCTCCCATTTTGAATACTGTGGCCCATTTCTTAAAAGTCAGAACATCAAAAAACTGAAAACTCTGCAATACTCATTTGGCCCTTATCTGTACAGAAAATATGTTAACTTACTACAATGATATTAATATATTTTTAAAAAGAAACAAAGTTTTGTGACACCTAAATAATTAAATTAAATTAAAAGTATCTCAGGGACAGAAAAAAGGATTTTCTCCTAGAAACTCTGGGATTACACATCGCAGAAACATGAAAATGTCTCCCTGATGTGCTTCCCCCGTTCCCAGTCATGAATGCAATTGAACATGTGTGGTCCATCGTCAACACTCCCTGCAGAAATGACAGGACAAGCCCAGCTCCCGCACCTCACCGCACTGTGAGGTTGCGGTGTCCACATGTGCACATTAATCTTGTGTTGAGGCAAGCACCGCCATTTCGCTCAGCATCAAATAGACTTGTGCAATCCACTTGAGATTATTTCAGAGCTGCAGCCTTCACAAACGGCAACACCACTGGGTGAAAAAAAAAAAAAAAAAGCACAAGGCAAGAGGAATCAAACCGAAAAAACCGGAAAGCAAAACGGCGATTTCCTGTCCGAGAGCCAGCGCTAACATCTGCGGCCAGTGCTGCCAAGAGCCATGTGAAGACCCTTGTCCGCAGGCACAGTGGTGCGCGTTGTCCACACGTGGCTGGGGGGTCCGAAAAGGGCTTCTGCTCATGCCGACATGTGGAAGTGAGACGAGCAGGAGGTACGCACACCCCCCCCTTCTCCACGTTGCTCCTCGCCGCCCCCACGGCTTGTCTTCGGAGAGTCGAGGGACCTACAGTACAACATCTGCGAAGCAAGGAGGACTGCCTTTCCCTTATCCAGCCAGAAGAAGGATGCCATCAGCTCCACACAGGACGCTCTACTCTTCTCTTAGTGCAGAGATGTATTATTATTCAAGTTTTATCATTAATAATATAAAATCACAGGAAAGGTTACAGACAAGAGAAGGTCATTCGGTCCGGGGGTTAACAATAGCTAGCTGACCTGCGGATCTCAGCCAGCCAAGGTGTCTGCACCAATTACATGACCGGTAGCTTGTTCCCCACTCTCACAACCTTCTGTGTAAAAAAAACAAACATTAAAAATACGCATTTTCATGATGTCTCATGAAGTAGTCTTCTGCCTCTTCTGTGTTGATATTTTGTCGTGTGATGCCCCCCTAAATGTGACTCCACACATTTGAGCCCACCAAGCTTTGGATCGTTCACCCACTAGCAGGGAACGGGATCTGGGGTTGGACCGTCGCGAGGCAGGTCAGTGTTACCCTGCCGATGAGGTGGTGTTGCAACAGTGATCCTGCTCAGAACGAGAGGAACCGCAGGTCCGGATATTCGGTGTCGGTGCTTGGCTGAGGAGCCAGTGGTGCAAAGTTCCCATCTGGGGGGTTGTGACTGAACGCCTCAAAGCAACGCGAGATCTCCAAAGCAGCTTGTGAGTTCGGTGGAGGAATCGATTAAGGAAAGAGCTTGGCCAGGCTGAAAACCAGCAGGTGTGGGAGCTCCCCCCAGGACCCGGGGTCTTGTTAACAGGGAGTCTTTAACGAATGAAGAACATGCAACCTTTTATCGCTTGATTCTTTCCTACTTTCCTTTCACCTTTAATCATCATTAAAGTACTGATGTTTGGTTAATGTTAAATTGAATAAAGTGAATAAAATCAATACTGATGCATGTGGAGTGTTCTCAGCTGCAATCAGGATTAAAAAAATGAGCGAATTATTGAGTGAATCAAGACACCGTATTGTAATCATAATCTACATTTTCAACAAATACAAACAGTTTTAAGTCACTGTAATTAGCATTCCTTTTAAAATATCTTTGGTACTGCACTATATTACTGTAAATGTAAAACATTAACAGTGACTTCATTGGGAAATCAGCTGAGAAATGAAAACGTAGTGTTTTGTTTTAATTTAAAGGGTAGCACTACCCACCTTTCCTATCAGAGAATGCCCCACAAATTCCTGCTATGTCTTTTGCATTCTTGGTTTCACATACTGTGCTTTTGGATTACAACAGAATGGTTGACGACACTCTCCAAGGACTTTTTTTAACCTTTTCTTGATGCAGAAGGCAAATTTGTTCACTGCTAAGATTTGCTTTTTCAGTTTTCCATGAATAATTAGGGTGCAGTCTTTGCAACTTAAGAAATCCCTGCATTTCACGAGTGGGCAATGACACTAAGGGCTTTGATACACCTCGCAAGTGGCTCCTCAGCACTGAGTAAGTTGAGATTATGATCTAGGTGTTGTGGGTTTGAGTCTGTTACGCCAATTACTAACTGTGACGAGCATTCTCCAAGCAGTGCTAAATTGCCTAAGTATAACCAGGGATAGGGTGGGATTAGTGAGAGAGCTCTCACTCAGCTCTCATCAACACGCCCTGTAGCCTCCTGGGTGCTTGCAGGCTCACAGTGCTGCTGATGATGCCTCTCCTCCAGCAGGGGGCAGTGTTGCCTGTGACGTATTAAAAGCCATGTGGCCTGAAGGTGGGCAGGTTGGAGGAATCGACCTGCACTTCCTCATTCTTCCCCATGTGCGGTTTCAAGGTTTGCAAGCTTGAGCCAAGATGTGAAAAACACGCCACTGGGCCACTGGTCATTCCAAAATGGGTGAGTGTAACAAAAAAAAAAACCCAACCACAATGACCCGATGCACAATTTTCAAAAAGAGAAAAAAAGGAAAGAAAAGATGGATGCAGGTATGACGATTGTAGACTGTTTTGTTTTCTAGCGTGAAACAGGACTGTAAAGAACCGCTGTGATTTCTTGTGTGGTAAGGTATAGATCAAAAGCAGAAAATTCAAACTATAGAAACCTACACGACACGCGACTGAGCTGCTCTCACCTGGGCCGTTCAGGAAATCTTTGATCTGCAGGGATAGGAGAGGAGGGGGGATGCCTGTTTTTTTGTCAGCTTCTCCTGCCACTGTCTGCAACCAAAACACATTGTAATCCAGTGCTTCAGGCAGCGTCTTTCCTGGGTCTGCAGGGAAAACACAAGGGATTGGAGAGATGAGAGTCCAGAGGAGTGGCAGAACCTATTAATTTCAGAGGCTGAGAAGCGGTAAAAGGGAAACAGACTTTTCTTATTATTCAAGCGTGTTTTTGCCAAAGACTTTTTTTTTAATTTTACATGTGTTTCACATAAAATAATTTTGATCTACACAAACGTTCGAGAGCAGAGTTAACAAAATTAATATCTCACAAGTATTTCCTATAAAAATATTGATTCAGGTCACTTTTTTTTTAAACTCAGAAAATTGGAATAACTGAACTACTAGTAAGCGATACCCCTTAAGGCTTATGTGACACACTATGTTCCTCAGTGATCCAAGAGAAAGATCTGTTTGTTCAATAACAATTTCAATAATTTTTAACTGTTATTACTAAGACAGTGATTTAATGATTAGGCTATTCATCTTAACCAATGAGTGAATATATTAATGAAGAATACAGATCACTGGGTTGTATTTTCAAGAACCAATAGCCTTATTACTGTGGTGATGGAATTGGGGGAAAAAAACTGCAAAGACTTGGCAGTAAGTTTGTTTCCTCTAAATAAACCATATTAACAGTGAAATTAGAGACATGGAAGAATGGGATATCTGAAGATCTTTGTTACTGCACAGGAACTCATGATACAGCATTATCACGATCAACCCTACGCTCACCCTGCGGTC